TTTTTCTTAGCTTAGCATTTTCCGATTTTTTGCTATATTCTTGTTGTTATTGTTTCATTTAAATATTGTGAACGACGAGTGATATCAACGAACGAAAGAATAATACATCGTAGGTAAGGCAATCGCATAATAACTTCAAGTCATGAAAATATCTGTAATATGACTTTGGTAAAAAAAAGTGATAATAACAAATTAAATGATTCAGAAAATAACTAACATTATTATTGATCAAGGACATTTATTCCTTTTTGATTGGCTCAAATCCCGCGGCTAATTCTTCATAACCATAAACAAATAGCCGAACTGCTGTCTAAAAACATAGCAAAAACAGAATGAATACAATTCGCTGTTTGACATCCGCTATTTGGAGCCCTGCGCCACGAACCCTTCCCTTTGGCATGACAGGGCATGGCAGACGGTATACTTCTCACCACAAAGACACTTGCTTGGTAAGTCGGACAGGGGCATATTATAATTTATTTATTTATTTAGCTTCGCCTAACTAGAATACGATCTTTATACGTGAATACATAAAAATTATAAGGCAGGGAGACCACTACAGCCTAACCAATTACAGTGGATCCCTCGTTAATTAAAAAACAAAACATAAAAATAACTAAAGCTACTGATATATTAACAAGAAAATTAAAAGGAAACAAAACAGAAGTTAAAATTGCTAGAAGCAGCACGTCGGCGGGCACAGTAGAGTCCTCGCTATGTTGCACCTGGGACTAGGCTTTTGTACATTATGCTAGCATTTTTTCGAGCATTTTAGTGAGGCAAAAGCATTGAGCATTATTCGAGCATTTTAGTGGCATTTTCCCCGGAAAATTAGTTTTTTCCGAGCAAATAAAATAGAAATTAACTTTTTCAGGAGCCCATGCCCCATGAGCTCCTGCTTTTTTAAACAAAATGAAGACTAAAACTCAAAATTCACAAAAAACCTAATACAGCTGGTTTTTTTGGCTGTGTTTATGAACTTGTACACGTTGTCGTTGTTACTTGCAACACTTGCACGTTTTTGTAAGTGTAAACTTTGAAATTAATTTAAAAGACCGTTTGTATAATGAGCATTATCCGAGCATTTTAGTGACTTTTTTGGGGAGACCGAGCATTTTAGTGGGAAAAATAGTGCATTAAGGTGGAGCATTTTAGTGGGGAAGCAAAAGCATAATGTACAAAAGCCTACCTGGGACAGATTGTTCTCTAGCCTCCCCGCAGACGTCCTTTGGGGTTCGTTTGTCACGCATTCATTTCTCCCCACGTGGGGAGAAATGAATGCGTGACAAACCCCAAAGGACGTCTGCGGGGAGGCTAATTGTTCTCCAGGTTCTGATGTTGTCAACGTCGTACAGGGCCAGCGCCTTATTGTAATATTGAAGTTGTGAACATTTGAATGAGGCTAGAGAGATGTGACTTGTGCGTAACTCAGCGGGCAGAACATTCCATGTGCGGCACGCGCGTATGAAAAATAAGCGTTGATAAGTAACAGTTCTACTTCGCTTAGGGATATAACTAATAGCATTGCTGCTCGATGACCTGGTAGATCTCGTTGATTGTCTAGTTGCAGGCAGAGCTTCACTATCTATGAAAACTAAGTTATTGACAGCTTTATAGAAAAAGACTATATCCAAAAATTCATGCCAGTATGAAATAGGTAACAGATTTGTTAGTTGGAGGCGGGTCTTATAGGTTACATCGCAACGGAAGGGAAGCTTCAAAATTAGTTTTGTTGCACGGCCTGCACGTTTTCAACTCGTTTTAGTAAGCCAATGGACTGTGGCGACCATACTTGGGTTGCATAGCCGAGATGGCACCGGACGATAGAAAGATAAAGTGTACGACGCTTTTGGGTGCTTTGGATGTACCTAGAAGCTCGGCGCACAAAGCCAAGGAGTTTGTTGGCTTTCGCACACTGTTCAGTCACTTGCTTGTCCGAGGTAAGATTGCTCGACACCCACACACCAAGGTCTTTCTCTGTATCGCAAATTCCAAAGGTGTTTCGTTGATGTTATAGGTGGGCTGTACAGGTGATTTTTTGCGGGTAATGTTATGCCTTAAACAGGTGGGCAGGTGGGCTGTACAGGTGATTTTTTGCGGGTGATGTTATACCTTAAACGCAGAGAGTCTCTGACAGTTAAAATTGTTTATTTAGATGCAACGTAGCACGTAAAACATTTTCACCTGAGAGTGAAACTGTTAATGTGACGTATTTTGGGTGTTTCTCTAATTTTCACAGCTAATGCTTTTTGTAGCTTGTGTTGCTACCAAGTTTATCAGGGAATATGTTTACGTATTTGTGGGACGGTAATGTGTGAATGATTGTGTTATTTATTTGGTGTTGCTGTGCACCTCTGGGGTGCCAGTATTAAAACTTATCAGTAGTTGTCATTACCACATCGATGGGGTTTCGTGGTTCCAAGGACTATTCGATACTTTTGTCTCACTCTCGGGTCCTAAAGAGATGACTTATTCGCAAGCGATTTTTCACAAATGGCATTCCCTTGTTGCCTTGACTTCTACGTCGGGCTGTGGTATAGTAATCTTCTCTAGGCCTGGATCGGGGGAAATCCTCTTTATTTCCGGTCGTTACTTATCCATTCTTGGTTCCTTTTTTATTGTGGTCGTGAGTTGGTTGATGTTTTGGGCCCAGGTTTTGGGCCTCTTTTTTCAGTGCAGCCAGCGACCGCAGGGAAGAAGATCCAGTAGATGTGGTCAGATCGAACTCCCGCCCCGGGTCTAGAGGAGATGACCAATATCGAATTATTGAATGAATGATAACTTAATTTATACACGGTTTTAACAAGAAAAAACGTACACTTATCCCGTTGATAGACAGTTCAACCTTTAGAGAGCCGCTAGGGAATAGGTTTTCGAGAATTACAACAGCAGCGAAGCGAAATGGGAGAGAAGAATCAAAGAATGTAGAAAATTCACTTCGCAATGCAGACGGTCATAATTCGAGATTTTTGGAGCAAACAAGTTGCAGATGTATGCTTGTACATTTTAAAATACCAGTGAGCCTCCCTTCAGTCTTGTTTATCTCTTCTAATCGATAAGTTGTTTCAACCGAGCGAGTTTACAGGCTGTCTGGAATCTGTATCATAGCCTGTCAGTGATTTGATTTAGTGATGACTCAAACAGCACGATTTGCTTCGGTGGTGTTTGGGGTTCTATACCACTCAGCTAATGGGACAAGCTATCAAAGGCAGCACCACTGTAATCAGAGTGTGGTTCAATAAGACCTTTTGTATAATTTGACTGCAGTGTGTATGGAAACAGATCAGGTGTGACTCGCTTAAGCGACCAATACTCTAAGCCCAGTCTTTCTTACGACTTGATTTCATGCATGTGTGCCCTCACAGCGAGATTTTTGCCAATTCTTGAGTGCGAGAGATTTGCTACGAATGTTCTGCATTGTTGGACGTTTAGGCTTATCGTAAAGTCGATAAGCCATAGATCAATTATGTTTCAATCACTATTGCAGATCTGTGTTTGGAGATCAGGTTCTAGGTATATAGTAGGTAAAGGGATGGTAACGTTATCGTTTCGTCCGCGGATATTCTTGGTCGGAGAAGCAGCATTAAACATATCGGTAGATCATTTCTTTCGATGAAAAGGAAAGGGGTCGCTTATTGTCCCTTGATCATGAGGTACGCCACAGTGAAGGGAGAGCTCGCGCAGGATAGATGCCTGGTTACTTACGTACAATGCGTCTTTATATACGGTTAGTTTGGAGAGAATTTATCCACTTCAGGGCATCGTCAGCGCTGTGATCAATAGTATCGAAGAACTTCTTCAAATCTATAAAGTTTGCCCCATTAAGAGTACACTCTTTATATATTAAACGTATAAAGCTATCGTTTGTTATTTTACAAGACCGGGAGAGTGCCGTCGGAAGCGAGGGTAGGTGCCTTGCCTACATAGATGAATTTCATTTAGTAGGTAACTGGATGACTTTTTTGGAACAGTGATCCTTTGGGAAAGAAAAGACTCTGTTGGCATTATTTGCATTGAAAAATGGGTTAGTATCGACACTGGGAATTTAGCGAGCCAGAAGTTGGCTAATGGTGTGAAATGGCTATATTTTAAAAATGCTTCAATAATATCATCCGGCAAAAATTGTTTTCCTGTTTTGGCCTGGAACACTGTAACTGATTTACTTAATTTGTGGAGACTGAAGCTCTTTTTAAACGCCAAGTTTTACAACGATCACTTCCGTCTTAATATGGTTGTTGGTCTTGTTACGCTACCTTTGAACTGTTCGCAAATCAGGAAATTGCTTGTAGAAGCCGCTTTTCTTTTTATTCTAAAGTTTCGTTTTTTGTATTTTACGCACGAGGGTAGAGTACATGGCTGCTGTTGGTCTTTCTCGACCATAAATGATGTAAATCAAATTTAACATGAAAGCTATTTTGTTAAAAATTTAAAAAAACTATTTATATATTACAATTATCTTAAATTATATAAAGCTGGGTTTCAAAAACGAGGATTCCTAATTGTAAACTATGTGCAAATTCATGAGAAAATCTGATGACTGGATTTTGCATAAACCTACTGAATTTATGTCAAATATCAAAATCTTACGTTTAACTAACGTAATGTTTTATAATATATATTTTGTCTTCACCAAATTTGATGTTTATACCGGCCGAAGGAGTCTTAAGTAACACCCCAATGAATAGTAGCGACTCAAAACCTACCAAACTGTGTTCAGCCAATGAAAAGATCGACGTTTGAACTGGGCCTTTGAAACATTTAACACTAAACTGTCAGAAGTTGTTTGAACTCGTACCACCATTCAACTGTGTAAATGACACTAACAGAAAACGTTACTAGGCCCTCGAAATATCTGGGGTCTGTCTGTAAATTTTTCAGCAGGTATTTCAAATTAAGCTGAAATACCACTGCTCTAAGCCAATCAAATTGCAGAAATTTCTCATGTAGTAGTATAAATTGGATTATTGCATGTAATGTCCTGAAGCTTTAACTATGTTAGCTTATTCAGCATCAAGCAAGTCTTTGACAAACAACAATGACTGTTCGAGTTCTTCGACAAACTCCTCTTCATGTCTATAACAAGGGTGCTTAGGATTTGCATTCACTGTGATTGATATCGCATTTCTCCCAAACATATAATGCAATGCCATTGATCTATCTGGCAGAATACACTTGACCCCTGGCCTTCCAATAGCCTCGATCTCAGGATACCAACATGGATTAGAGGTCACGTTTTCAGCAACTTGAGGTGGCAGTATGTTGAGCAGCGGTGATCTGAGTAAATCAGCAACAGCTTGCCTAAACCTTCTCTTGATCTGTGGTTGTGGAGTATTCCTAAACGGAAGGCGGTTTGGCAGTCCCAAGTTTCTGTAAAGAGCGTCAAGATGCCAGAGGTTTATTTGACCTTTCTTGTAACGCAAGACCTCATCTTTGTAACTTTCAATAGCTTTCTTCAGCAGAGATTTAAGCAACACACGCTCCTGTTTTGTCATGGTTTGCAAGCTCCCTTCTGATTGGCGGGCTTTTTCGATGAATTTTTTCATGTCCGCCATACTGCTGTCCATGAATGTCATTCCACCAAACCGGAAATGCCTAGTACATAAGACGTAAGGAAACCGGAAATGCTTGTTCATGAAAAATGATGAAACCGGAAATACCTACTACATAAATGAGGTAAGCCATATATGAGCTGCTAAAGATAAATTACGCTCAATAACGGAGATTGGAAACCATACATTTGTGAAAAAGAGGGGTAAAGATTGTATCGTTGGGGTCGTCCCAACAAGTTCCAACCTTCAAACTCGCTGTTGAACATAGTAAGCAATAGCCATTCCTAATTCACTGAGTACAGTCGAAACTGCGACCAACTCTCGTAAGTGACCCGGGTGGCCACTCCTATATATGAGAGCAAAGTATAAAGAGTATGGTTTTTAAGGGTCTCCAACCTTAAATAGGGTACCATTTTTGCCCTTATCGAATGCATTTTGGTCCCAGTGTGATCCTTAGATAGGATACCTAAAATTCAAGAGCGTAAATGCCTAGCAACACGAGAAACAAATTATTTCTTAAAACTGATCCATTCCTTAGAGTATAAAGAAAGCGATTTCAGGAGGGTTTGGGTGTTATTTTTTGCTTCTCTCTCGTGTAAACAACCACCTGACACATAACTGGATATTTGTCAAGAAACTCGGCTTATATCGCTGCATATTTCAGGCCATCCTTTTTTCAAATTTTCTCTTGCGACGGCCATCCTTCACGACACCTAAATTTATAATTTTCCAGTCATCTTACATTTTGAATAAAAGATGAATTATTTATTATTTAAAAAATCTATCCACAAAACGAGACTACGGGAATGAGTTTCAACCAGAAAATGCTTTAATTAGGCATCATACAAAACCCCTCGTTGTAGGTAGAGATTAGCACTCTTCTTGAAAAGATGAACAGAAAATTGTCTTACCTTATACTAACGACTTCGTTGACACTCATACATCTTCCCGAGATCTTAGCAAGCGCAAGTTGCATTCCAGCCTGAAAGGGTCCCCCTGGTGTTACACAATGGTCTTTACACATGGACTCAAAACTGAAACCTGTACATATTCTGAATACGTCTTGAGACATCTGTTTAAACGGACCTGATGTTCGACTTTCTTTGATGAACTTTGCTGTCTTATGTTTGAAATATTCTTCATTTGTATCGTCCCAGATTATAGGACTTGCTTCTGGCCAGATCTTGAAGCCCTCATATCCTCCTGATAAGAGAAAAAAGATTCTGAATAGCACATTCCAAAATACGAGATGTTCTGAAACCGAGCAAAACTTGGTTTATGTCAGTTTCAAATATTTGGTTTCGGTCCTACACTCACGGAGCCTCCAGTTTCCCACCATTCCATTTAAGCTAAAAATTTACCACCCAATTTGTGCTGAAACTGCAACATACCTAAAAGATTATTTGCAAAAACACTCTGTGCCTTTACCAACTACTTGCTTCAACATTCCTTCACTCTTAGCAACCTTCAGTCACCTTGGCTCCCAAATATCTCTGAATTTGAGCTCCATGGTCTCAACAAGACAAGCTACAGATACACATGCGTCACCTGCACAAAACTTTTATGCCACTTAATTCATTATCAGGTATCCCCTGCGTGCTCAGCGAAAATTATGTCTAACTTTAATATATACACTTAGCACGCTTCTAAAGTAAAGTTTCTGAGCGTGGGATCACTTGAATACCTTAACCGCCAGCAGAACTAACCCTAACTCAATGAGTAACACACCTGAGCCCCGCGGTACAGTCATGTGACACTGGTGAGCGGGTACCATATTTCATTTGATCATAACATGAATGTCCAATATCGAGTTAAACACAATTTGTATACGCCTTGGACTTCAAAGGTAGTAAGACATTTCACGTCCGTTATAATGAAGGGGTGGACGTACAGACGGACGCGGGAGCTCCGCTGAAATGAAATCAATTATGACGTATTTAAACTTTTGCTAACGCGGGGAGTTCTTACTTTGTTTACTATGAGGCTTGTACGTACTCTTTGTCCCTTCACGCGTAAATAAAACGTCTTCAACTCGTTAATCTATTCCTTAATACTGAATTAAAGACAAAACTAATATGGCAAAAACTCTCAGTGCTGAACTTAAAGGGAACAGAACAAGTTTGGGTAAAATGTATGTCACAACTTAACCCACCGTCTTCAGTTTCTTCTCCAGAAAGTCTTTCATTTTTCACTGCAATTCGCACAAAGTTTGTCCCTACCGTACCAGTCATTCCAGCCAAATAGTTATTCACAAGTCCCGCCACACCATTACCAAACACAACAAGCTGCACGCTTTTGTCATACCAACGGTTTACGAAGTTTCCCGAATGTAGCTCGAACATGGCTTCGTTAGCTTTTCGGGGAGAAGTATCAGGGTCGAGCGCCACAATGAAAAGAGCGTCACGGAGCAGTGAAAGATTATCAACATTTCGTTGGCTAAGGCACTTGAGACGCTGTTCTTCTTGACATCTCTCAGATGGAGTCAGGCTTGTGAGAAAAGCTATTGGAGTCGATGGTTCTCTTGACGCGTCCATTTCTACGATGGTTTCGAGTTTCTTCTGGAACCAAATATAAAAGTGTGTCAGTATAGCAAGCGCGCACGTAAAGAAAGGAAGTAATTGTCAATTTCATTTGCTCGATGTTTTTGCCTTATTTGATTGCTACAGAAACTTGTTCTTTAAAAACACGCTTTCGATTGACCTGCGCGAATCCAAACCTCTTATTTCGTTGGTCCCTATAACTCGCACTACCTATTGTTTTCAGGGATAGGGGCATTGTTGTCACCATCCCTATTGTTTTCCCTATTGCAATTTTTTTAAATATATCTCTTTCATCGTCTTGAAAAAGCAAAGTCAAAAAATAAAATAAAATGAAATAAACCATCATTATGAATGAAATGGATTCATCCCCCTGAATTGGGTGTCAATTTACAAATTAATTGAAAAATGGGGAGAGATTACTCTAAATTGACCTCAGTTTGTAAACATTTTTGTTCAGCTTTTTAAAATCAATTAGCTATAAAACCCCAGGCAGCTTAGTTTAAGAGTAATTATTTTTGATTGTTAAACTTGAATTATTCTATCCTCCTATACGTTTGGCAGTGGGTATTTTTTAAACTTACTGTGCAGCAAAAGTTCCAACGTTTATCAACTTACTTCCAGCTGGCTTTTTGTGATAATCTCTTCTCGTCCTTCGTCGTCGTTGTGAATCAAATCCAGTTTATACATATTACCTCGTATCATTACAATAATGTGTCTCGAATTGATTTCAGGAGCTTTGTAGCGCTCAATGGATCCTGGGAAGAATTGCATAGAACAGGAAAAGACATAGTTATACCACTGCATCGACAGTGCTGTTGTTTTCATCACATCTTGGGTATATTCAGAGCTTCTATACAAATCTCTGGCTTTCATGAGTCCGTCTATTAGAGAACTAGCTCGTTCAATCATAATGTCTCCGCAATCTTGCATAGAAACTGCGTGTGAACTGATGTCCTCACCAATGCCCCCATCTACGGATGTCCCAGGATGCTTTGGGCTCCCTCGGATAAGCACCGCATATGACGTCACAGGTTGTGAAGGGATGATGTTCTCGTGGAAGTATATTTCATCATGGCGAATTCCAAATGTGTCTCCATGATTTGAGGGAGCATACCAGCAGTTGTTTAGGAGGTCATCGCAGTGCCTTTTGTGCAGTCTGAAAAAATCCAAGGACATTAACTGTTTTAGACTGATGTTTTTTGTTTGTCTGTTTGTTTTTTTTTTTTTTTGGTTTTTGTTTTGTTTTTTTTTTTTTTTTGGTTTTTGAGATAATTACCCACCGAGCCAATGCTGCTCCTCAAATGTACCAAGAGAAGGATAGGGGTTGTGTTAAAGAATTAAGAGTAGGATACAGTTAGATGTTGCAAGTAGTTTTGAGTTTACACTGCGTTGAGTGCTCCATTGCAACGCTTTGCGGTTAGCTTCCACATAACCTTTTTAAAACAAGTAATATTTTTTGTATAAAATATTTTCCCTTTAATGAACTTCTTCTCTTGTTTTTTTCAAATGTCATCAAATCTCCTAAATAAAATAACTGGGTGGAAGTTAGATTAAGAGTGCAGCCATTGCTTTGACGCGTTTTGACGCGTTTTCACACAAATTTCACTAGCTTCGTTTTCAGAAAATCGGGTACTTAGGGGTGGACCATTTTATTTTTGAGAGGGAGGGGGGGTAGGCAATTACCCAAAAAAATTCCTGCACAGCTTAAAGTAGAGAAAACAAATCATGCACAGTGGACCAAGGAAAAAAATCGAGTAAGCCTTTTTACTCGTAGGATCGTTAGACCAAATGAAAAAATAATCTGTAATTTTTGTCATAATTTAATTTCAACACGCAAAAATGCTCTGTAATTATTTGTATAATAATTCACCTCTTTGTGTTTCATATCATAAATATCATAAATACATCATTTCCATCTGTCTCTTGTATTAAAACATAAATTTGAACCATTTCACTGAATTTGGTGTAATATAAAATTCACGTTATGAAAATACCATTTTCCATTTCTTTTATTAAACTGATAACTTTCAGCTATTTTCAACATATCTGATATCTATTAATTGAATAAACGATAATTATTAATTATTGTGTTCATACAGTCTTAAAAGTACACAACCATATAGGACAAATGGTAGAGTGGTTGTACTTAAACCCATAAACACTATCTAACCAGGGTTTTATCTAGGGTGTTTGGGGGTTACAAGCTCCCTCCCCCCCCCTCCCCCCAAAAAAATGCCCCACTTCCCCCGAAAAAAATACTGTTATCATCACAGTATATAAGTAACTATATCGGAAAATTCATCCAGACGCGACGAGGTCAGTGCACTCATTGTAACATTTCTCAAAAATGCACCAGATTGCATATCAGCGCATATCAAGAGAGGGCACTGAAGCACATGTACCAATCCGCGGTTATCATTCAAACATTTCCTGAAAATCCTAGATAGAACTCTGCTAACAGTTGGTGTGTAATAGACTGTCAAAATTAAAACAAATGAAAACAAGAAAATAGTGTCTGATAGAGCCCACTAGAAACTTTTTTAAGGATTTGTAAGTAAAACCATTCTATAAAAGGAAAGTTTAATGGTAGAGTGATAACGACCTTTCCTTTGAGCGAATCACTTTGAATATATAGTTGTGTTTTTTATTATTTACTATTTTGCTTATTTACTATCGATGTAATTCTACTTATTTTATTCATGTTCTTACATATGATTTAATCAGTTATTGTAAAGTGCTTTTGATCTTTTTCGAAAAAGCGCTATACTGAAGTTTTAAATTATTATAAAGTGAAACCTATATTAGGCAGACCCTCGGTTCAGCTGACACCTCCTGGCTGACACCCTCTATTAAGCGGACATTTAGTCCGGTCCTGAAATAAGTGTCTTATATTTTCCTCTAAAACCAACCTCTATTAGGCGGACACCTCTATTAAGCGGAATTTCCCATTTAACACTGAATAGACTAAATCGCAGCTTGTATCAGCCTGGAGATACAAGCTGCGAGGCACAGCTTGAGGCACATGTGTAATTTTCTATTCCATACTTGTATAGGCATACCTCATAAAATGCTCATTTTTGGTGATATTCTAATAAATATGAAGACTGAAAACCGAAGAAAAAAATTCGTGCACAACCTTAACCCATCTGACCCTGAGCCGCCCCTAACCGCCCGCGCGGATCCACTTCGTTTCTACCGCTTGTGACGTCATCAGTTTTAATGGTCAGGGATAACTTATATGTCCGCTAACTTCTGCAGAATGGAGAGATCTTTTAAACCATACCAGAATGAGGACAATTCAGTCAAGTACACCAGAGAAACAGGCAAAAAACCATGTAACATTGACCCGAAAATTTCCATGAAAATCTTGTTCCACTACCCGCCTACCTTTACTTTAATCTAATCCTAAGATACTAAAAACTTTCCTAAAACCTTTTCCCTCCAAAATGAAGCCTACTAAATGCCCAGCAAGAGAAAAAAAGGCAAAAAAAACGAAAAAAGGGGGGGCGGGGGAAAGCGAAAAGTAAAAGTCGATACTGCTGTGTTACTATTAAACCTTTCGCGTGCCCGAACTTCGCAAACTGATATTTTGCATCGGGATCAGAAGGCCGTGAGGTGTACAACCTGTAAACGGCTTTGTGGTACGTTTGAGCTCTTTATAGCACGACAGTGACCAGAAAACCGCTCTACTAGCTTCAAAACGCGTTTTTCGGCAAAATCTCCAGGGGCGAAGGGGTTAGGGTGCCAAAAAAAATCCTGGCGCAGCCCAAAGACGAAAAAAAAATTCTTAACTAGACGAAATTGTCTAACCCTCCCCCCACCCCCCACTCAAAAATGGTCCACCCTTATGCAGTGTTATGTTTCCTTTCTTTTTTTTTTTCGCTTGTTCTCGCTCTTTCATACCTTTTATGGGCATCACGCAGTCCTAAAACCCGACAGGCTGAATGCACAAAAAGATTGTTCAAACCATTCTGGACACTTGTCGCGCAGGAAGGCAATCTCCGTCTAACCAAATGCTCCACCAAGCTCCTTAGTGGGGGAGGGTCGGGAATTGGCAACTTTTCATCCCACTGGAGTACTCTAGTTTGCAAGGTTGTTTGGTCGAAAGAGTTCTGCAAAATATCAATGAGAATGTCAAGTTCTAGCCGACCTGACATGGAGTCTATCTTTTTGTCAAGGGTCGAGGGTCGAGGGTTCCATGTCGAGGGCGAGGGTACCATGTCGAGGGTCGAGGGTAACATTTTTTTTTTCAATTTTTTTTTTTTTGGAAAAGGTAATAATCGATGCAATCAATGTCATTAAAACAAATAAGAAGAATTTAAAAAACAAATGGCGAGTGAAAATCTTCTTGTTGTTGGGTGGGGGCGGGGGGGAAGGGGGATGGAATAGAGATAAGCTCCGGGACATCCAAATTTGTTTTCGAAGAATTAATTTATAACACCCCGGAAACCCATACCACGAACAGAACACGTTACTTGAGTGCGTTGAATTATGAATTTCTGGTCCAACCAACAAATGGAAGGAAAAAACTATTATTGCGTTGTAAAATGTGTCATAAAATGTGTCATAAACGAACAAAGCAATCGTTGGAGTCTATCTTTTTGCAGAGCTATTAAAATGCGCGAACTCGCATGGAAATCGCCACCCACTAACGCAGAGGTTTAAAATAGAATAATTCCTGGTAGCGACTTTCGGTGAGGTGAACATCGGCATTTGCCGACGCTTTCCCATTAAAATACAATATATCTTTCTAGGCCACAATCGGTCCAGTAGCCCATGATGGGCTCCTGTCGGTCATATTTATTTGTCAGTGAACGTGGACGTGGTGGACGTGAATAGGAAAAAAAACAGACGTACGGTCCATGTCTCCCATTGATCCAATTAATTGTTTTGCATTTGACACATTTCTACTAAATATCTGTTGTTCTCCAAGTTGGACATGAATAGGAATAGCCGCCTGTTCCAAGCGTTCAGATAGTGGAGAGCTCCCCACTATCTGAACGCCTGGAACAGGCTAGAATAGGAAAAAACGGAGTACTGCGACAATGCCGTTTATCTTGAACCGTGAATACAAGATTTTTTATTCCCGAAAAAAAATCGACTGTGTTGCAAATTCTGTTCAACTGTTTGAAATGTTACAATGTCACACAAGGCCATTCCTGTACAATTTTTCGGTCCGTCGGGCAAGAAGAAATGGCATTGGGTTTGTGGAGTGATTTTTGGTTCTGTTTTGAGGATATTTTCACTGGTATTTCAATTCAAGCTTTCTCTGTGATCTATTTTTCCGTGGTTTCTGATGTAAATTTACTACTTTTAACATCATGCAAGAAACTGGACAATGTATTCTATGTCTGTCTTTTGCGGAATTTTTTTTTTCTTTAAATATTCATATAGTGTACACTCTTTTTTTCTTTTTTTGAAAGTTCGCATAATCGGTCTGCTTCGATCTGATCCCTGTTCGTGAATAAAAGCTCCCCTTTTCGTGCAAAATAGGAAATAATCACTGAAGCCGTTGTGAAGAAAGTTTTTGAGCAGACACCTCTGATTTCTGTTTGAAATGTACCGGTTAAAGATGTGTACAAAATTAGTTTCGCCACATGACTTCCTATTGTCCCGGTGCCGCCATCAACTGCGCCGATAAGTGTTGGTTTTGCGTTCCTTTTGTGTTTCAGGGTGTTTCAAATTTCTGCAGTGATACACTTTTTAAGCTGCAGAACATAACGTTGGTAATTAAAGGAGTTTATTATTGCG